TATAGTCGCCAGCCGAGACGCAGCAAACGCCTTTCGAGGCGGAAAAGCCAGAATCGCGCGAATGCCATTCGTCTGGATGACTCAAACACACGTGGTCATCGTGCGAACAGGCAGGCTTTCTAAGTTGTCTATATACATAATGACATTATATTTTAATAATATTTTACACAGACAAACAGGACAATCTCCAGATCACTACAACCCGTCGTATTTGAGTATCATTTCGACCACTCGCAAAAATCTGACATTCGAACTTATAATTTATCCTTATAACGGCTAGCTTTGAGAAAATCTCACTAACTGTCAGCTGGAGTGACCGATAGGTTGTCATTCAAAGAACGTTGAGCGCAGCCTTACATCCACAATACTGCTTTATGGTGCTGTGGGAATCGAGTGTGGACAACATTTGCCATCAGGAAAAGTGTATTCCTCTCACACGTTAAAGTCATGTTGAAAATTTTTTGTTTGGCCGTTATGTGACCGAAATGTGCAGCACAAAATTTGGTCAACCTGGATGTCTGAACGTGTAGTGACCTAGAGATTCCCCTGTTTGGCTGCCGCATGCTGCGTAAAATATTACAAAATTATATTTTCTCGATGTACATAGCAAATTAGCCGCTCGCCTGTTTGAACGTTGCTCGCGTTTGTTTGAGTCAACATAGCATCCGCCTTCGAACGGCGTGACGCTCATCGGCTCCGCGGCCATCTTCGCTCTCCGCGCACGCGACCACACTTTTCCCCTAGCTAGCTATCTTCCGGTGCCTTATTTTTAGAACCAGATAGCGTTTCGCCCCACTTAATAAATTTTTCCTAGCGTTACTTTTGGTGTTCTCCACTCATCGGAGGTTGGCCTTATATTCGCGTATTGGTTCTAAAGCGTACCGATCCTGCTTCTCGCTTTAAACGGCCATCCTTGCTGATCAGGTCCCCAACTTGACATGCGGTAAATTTTATTGATCGGTTGCAGTAAGACAAGCCGTGGATGCCATCGCAAGCTACCTTAGGCTGTCGTTTCGAGAAGCCGGGTTACCTAGAGTCGGAGTCTGCATTTCTCTGCCTAAAACATGCTCGCCACCTCACGTACAGCTAGTCGAACAATTTGGGGATGCTCTGCGTGATTACTGTGCTGTCCTAGTTTTACGAATAAACTTAATTAATTACACCGTCACTCCTTCGAATCGTAAGGAAAACACAAGGGCGATAAGCACACTATACGGAACTCAGAAAGCTTATCGAAGTATCTAGGCCAGTTACAATAAGTGATGTGCTGACCACCTTCTCTTTGAACCGTAAGCCGTTGACAGGTCACAGCCAACATGCGATCATTCGGTTGTTTTCAAGCCCTCGGCTACCCACCATGTGGTGACGGACACGGCAGGTTAGTAGCAAAATTGCCGAGGTTGTTATATCCACCAAGTGCACATTGGAAGACAACAACATATGTTCGCCACACAGAGACGCAGGTTCACAACGCCCGTGACTCGTTTCATTCCGCATTCACACACAAACACATTTGCTTCTTTTCCCTTGCTTGTGAGCGTGTGGGGACAACCTCATTGAAGTCGTCACGCCCTCGGGCTAAGCGGACAAACGAATGGAGTGACAATGTTTCTCTGCCACTAACACTGTTTACAGTGCTGCATTCTTCACCATGTATGCGCTGCTCACCTTATGCCTGATTCTGAACTGGTTAGCCATATACCAACCAGGTTGTGGGTGTGCGTTTGCCATGGTTTAGCGGCTGCCTGTGTGCATGTGTGTGTTTCGCCTGACCGCTTGCATGGGGTTGGCAGATAGACTTCTGATTTGGTGTTATCGTAAACCCTTCCTGTCACACGTTTTGGACTTGACGGCCATTCAGCATCGGCTCGTCACCAAGGTAGAAGAATGCAATCAATAGCTCGGATTGCGAATACGAAGCATAAAACAGAAAATGGGGGTGGACCGGTGAGAGGGTGGCAGGAGAACACGGAGTTAATGACGAACAGGCAACCCCACAATAAGGACCAGACAATAGAGCGTGCGGTTGAACCAATCTACTAAGCCTGTAAGTCGGACATTTAATTGCGTGTGTGGCTTCGATTTTCTATCGCTTTTAGTCGACAGAGCGATTAAGATAGGAGGGAAAGACCAAGCGCTTAATTAACATATATGTTAATGACCCTCGGCGAATACGATTTACTTGAAAATGAAAATATCGGTTGGCCTGTCATTCCGCTGCGTCACACCATCGTCCGTACCGGCCCTGGCGGTTGCTCTGCTCCTCGTTCATTTTGTCAGTTCTCTAACTGTCGTTTCCCAGTTCGAAAAGTCGTCGTATTGTGAGGCATTTGATCTCTCCGAATCTTAATGTCTATTCACCGATCTTCTAACGGCCCTACACAAACAAGGCCTTTGGTAGCCTTATTGGATGGACGCGATTGCACTGTAGAGATGCCTCTACTCAAAGATGTGGCAACGGTCGCTTTTTGTGATGCGTCGTCCACTGCTGAGATCCATGGCAAGGTGCTAGAGGAAGCTGTCGGCGCCCTTATGTGGCACACTATATCCCTCACTCGAGAAGATCTGCAGAAATTCAAGTCACTCAAAATTATTGTTCGGATCGGAAGGTCAGTACCAATGTTTGTATAACGAGCTGTTTGGTATTTCATCACTATTTGTCGTCAGGATTCACTTCACTTTGTGGTTTGCCTTTACTTTGATTTGGCAGCGGTTATCCTTTTACTGAATTATGCGTCATTTGTCAGTAGGATGTTTACTGAAGGTTGTTCTTTCGACTCAACGATCGTCTGCTTGATGTTCACTACTGGCTGAACTGTAGAATATTCTGAAACAACGCCTGCTTATTTTCAGTGGTTACGACAATATCGACATCAAAGCCGCTGGTGAACTTGGGGTTGCCGTTTGCAATGTTCCTGGTTTCGGTGTTGAGGAGTCTGCTGATACAACCCTTTGCCACATTCTTACGTTATACCGCCGGACGTTTTGGTTGGCCAACAGCTTGCAGAGTGGAAAGCGCCTAAATGGCCCTGAGCAGTTGAAGGAAATGGCTAGTGGGTCTGCGCGAATACGGCGTGATACTCTAGGCATAGTTGGCCTCGGTAAGTTTGCTTTTTATGCAGGCACGCATTTTTAATGTTTAGCTTATTGGCTTCAGAGTAATCCTACTTAGACGAGATAGGAGTTCCATTCTCGAATGCAAACTCAGTTTTCATTTACTTGGATGTGGCCTGCATGTCGTTTTTCATTTCTGTTTCTAGCCAGATTAACAGCATACTTGCAGCATGATTTCAACCACAATTTGATAGGATAACTAGGCATTTCACTTGACCTATCCTAACAAGTTCAAGTTGGGCTTCTGGGGTGTTTAGTGAGTAGGCTTTAGCCAGATAGCGATTCCATAATGCAAATCGGGTTGCAGAGAAACTTTTATTGGTACAGCAAAAGGTTCTCTGCATGCCTAGCTATAAAAACACCATTGACGCTTTAGCTAGCGGTATTGTGTTGGTCTAACGGTATATATCCGATATTCAGATTTGGATGGTCAACCAAAGAACACACGGAAATAAGCTAGAAAATGTTTATTAGAAGGTTGCTAAATCTTAAGACTAAAATTAGGGCACCGGAAGTTTACTAACTAGCGAGTATGTAGTAGGGTGCTGAGTACGCTCGGAGTGTAGGGTATTGCGCGTTGGTCTAACGCTATATCCGATACTCTGATTTGACTGGCCACCCAAAGGCGTGCGGCGGAACACACGAAAACAGGCTGAAAATGTTTATTAGAAGGTTGCTAAATCTCAAGATTAAAAACAAGGCACCAGAAGATGACCAGCTAGGAAGTATGTGGTAGGGTGCTGAGTGCGACCGGAGAGACGACGTTCCGTTCGAAGTCCGCGGACAAAGTCCAGATGTTGTCGGTGTGTCACATACAAACACGTGCACCATCCAGACATGCGAACCACTTACTTCCCTAATACATGAGAATACTATGGTTTCATACTATGGTTCCATCAGACTCTCCCTCAAGTGTTCCATCAGACTCTCCCTCAAGACCTACTATATGTTCAGCTGACAGTAAAGTTCCAATTTGCAACAAACAAACTGAGGATAACGATTGGAGAGTACAAACATCGAGGAAACCAAGACAAATATCTAATGACCTGAGGCGCCGTAGCCTCATGGTCTTTTACGCACCTGAGTCAGGTGATTCTAATCCTCAGGTGCGTTATGCACATGACGTCGAATATTTGCAATCATTGATTGACAAACTACTCGATGTAAATGAGGACGGGCTCAAAGTTCAACATATCGCCCGTCTAGGAAAGAGAATAGAGGGCAAAAGTCGGCCCATGAGGGTGACATTTGCCGAAGAAGCAAGTACCAAGTTACTATTGTCTCGCCTTAATAGGCTGAAGGGTATGAAGATCCACGTGCGCGCTGACTTAGAACCGGCAGACAGAGAGAAACTCAAGTCTGCCATGATTGAACTAAAGCGGCGCACGGAGGATGGAGAAACAAACCTCCGTATCGTAAATTTTCGAGTAGTTGCCCGGGTTCCTCCACGAATCCGGATCAACAGGTTGCTAATACTTCAGGCGCGCCCAGCGGGTCCTACCGCGGTCTGCGCGTAGCCTTTACTAACGTATGCAGTTTGATGAACAAGCGCGATGTGCTGTACGACTTCGTGAGCTCTCAGCGACCGGACGTATTAGGCCTTGCTGAGACATGGTTAAACTCCGACGTAAACGCCCAAGAAGTGGAAATCACCGGCTACTCATGCTTCCGCTGTGATAGACCATCAAATGATCGCGGTGGCGTTCTACTTTACATAAAGTCTTCCTTGTGTGGGAGACTAGTGAGCGCCTATCAAAGCGCTGATGGTCTATGTGAGCAGTTATGGTGTTCGATACACCTCAGACGCTGCGAGTTGCACGTGGGCGTGGTATATCGCAGCCCACTGACCCGCAGCTTGGACTGGTTGCCGCATGTCCTCAACCACATGAGTCGTCCGATGTTCCTACTCATGGGCGATTTCAACTTGCCCCGAATACAGTGGCCTGAAGCTGAACTTCTCCCCGGCCACTGTGAAGTCGATAGGAAGTTTACGGAGTTGATATTTGAAACCGCGGCCACACAGCACATCAATCAACCGACACGCATTACAGCGCGCGCAACTCCATCATGCTTAGACCTGCTGTTGACTAGCTGTGAGCAGCGTGTACATAACATTCAAGTCTTAGAGCCTCTGGGAGCGAGTGACCACTCAGTGATCATAGGCAGTTTAGAACTACCGCTACCGTATCCTCTCCCACTAGAGTCAGCCTTCAACTATTGGAAGGCGGACTTTAATGGCCTCATTCGAGCAGCGAGCCAGGTAGACTGGTCTTTACCACAGGATTCATCTATTGAAACCTGTTGGGCTATCATTAAAGAGGGAGTGAAATCGTTGTGCGCCCGATTTGTGCCCCTCAAATTTCGGAAAGTTGGGCCAGTCAAACCACACTGGTTTGACAAAGAGTACAACAGAATGGCCCGACGGCGACGTAGACTATGAAACAAATTCGTGTTATCTGGCTCTGATGAGGACTACAATGCCTACAAGGTACAACGAAATCGCTGCAACAACGCGAAAACAAGAAAACGCAGAAGCTTCGAAGAGGAGCTTGCAACTGCCGCAAAAACTGCTCCCAAGAGGATCTTCGCATATGTGAAGCGGCGCCTAAGACCTATAGCTGGTATCCCAGTGTTAGAAGGCTCAGAAGGACAGCCTCTAACCTCGAGTACAGATCGTGCATCAGCATTGGCAACGCACTTCGCCTCCGTATTCGCAAGTGACCAGGTGTCTGTAATGAGTTCGACGAGCACCGCTCCAGCCGAACTTAACAGCCTGGACTGCAATATTGAGGATGTACGCAAGATTCTAGCAAATCTTGACGGGACGAAACCTGCTGGGCCAGATGGTATACACCCACTAATCCTCAAGTCATTAACGACCATAATTGCACCTTCTGTAACTGAACTGTTTAACAGGTCACTATCCACTGTTCTACTACCGGACGACTGGAAATGCTCAGTCGTAAAGCCTATCCCGAAAGGTGGTAACCCAAGCAAAGTGGATAACTACCGGCCGATCTGCCTGACGGCAGTTTTGGCAAAGACGCTCTAGAAGATCGTGAAGAAGAGCCTACTGCAACTTCTCGAGTCGAAAAACCTGTTGACCTCCGCACAGCATGGTTTCCTGAAGGGTCGTTCGTGCATCACCAACCTACTGTTGACGAGGCACGAATGGTTACAAGCGCTGAACAAAGGCCAATCGGTTGACGTCATTTACCTTGACTTCAGTAAGGCTTTTGACAAGGTTAACCATGCAGTGCTCCTTGACAGACTGAGGATGTGCGGTGTTGGTGGTTCGCTGCACAAATGGATCAGCAATTTCCTTATTGATCGGAAGTGGAGAGTCCAGGTGGACGACCATCTAACTGAGTGGTATCCATCGAGCAGCGGCGTGCCCCAAGGCACTGTACTGGGCCCGATATTGTTTCTAATCCATATAAACGATGTGCCTCAGCTACTACAATCACATTGTGCTTTGTTCGCAGATGACTTGAAAGTGTGGAGAGTAATCCGCACACTCAATGATTGCGATTTACTTCAGCAGGATCTCGACCGCCTCTCAACATGGTCTGCAGAGGTTAACCTTCCGATCAATCCTGCCAAGTCGCAATTCATGAGGTTGGGTAAGTGTGATCACGGCCGAACGTACACAGTGGCTGGACAACCGTTGCATCCCGCTCCTTTCGTGCGCGACCTCGGTGTACTCTCACGCTGCGACCTAAAGTCCATTGACAACACGAATAGGCTGTACCAAAACAGCCTTCGTATGCTTTGGGCTCTCAGGCGCAGCTTTAGCACTTGGTCCGAAGAGATTGCCACTCGCCTCTTCGTCTCGATAATACGACCAATGCTAGAGTACGGCACTCCCGCATACTGTCCCATCACGCGGGGCGAAGTAGAAAAGCTTGAGCGGGTGCAGCATGTAGCCACTAGGCTGATTCCCAACTTACGAGGTATGCCATACGAAGACCGATGTAAGAAACTAGGGTTATACACCCTATCTTATCGTCGACTGAGGGTTGACCTCATCATGACGCACCGAATTTTACATCTGGATGATTACCCCATGTTGAGACAACCACTTCATCTGCGCACACCAAGCTGCACGCGAGGACACTGGTATAAACTTATCGTCCCGGATTTGAAGCGGGTCGCCCATCAACTCTGTTTCGAACGCAGAGTGGTGAATGTCTGGAACGGCCTGCCTCAGCATATAGTAGAAGCGAACACCGTGTCTAAATTCAAGATGCTACTAGACCAACAATTTGCAGAGGCAAAGTACAGAGAGCGAAACGATAAATAAAAAGTTCATGTCCGAAAACGACGAATGATGCAGCTACACAGAGCAACCTCTACTCGCTGCTTCGCACCAGTTCTCAGTTCTCATAGTATTTAGGATTGATTTACACATCAATCGGGGGAATCTCCTGGTCACTACACAGCACGCTTTCCTATAAGGGATACCGTGGGTGGCCCTTCGATCTACGTGAGGACCGTCCGTCGCCAGCCAGCCTTTTGCGGACCAAGTGGCGAGACCTAATGCAGCTGCTGGGGAGCACTAGTGCGATCGGACCCTAGCGTGCTTCCCACCCGTGTCCTCCCTAAAGCTGCCAAAAACACAAAATGGAGGGAAGTTCGTGAGAGTCAAATGTTTGCAACCTTGTGAACGTCTTATGTTCGCTTGTGAACGCAAAATGTTCACTTTCAGCTCGTACTCCCCGTTTTGCACATGAAACGAAAACCAAAATATGGGTATTGTGACCATAGTGGCGAGCAGACAGGAAAGTGGCACTTACCGAATGGCGGAGTAGCGACAAAAATACATTTTTGGGTTTTCAAAACGTTTTATTCGTTTTTTTGGGTCTTCAAAACGTTTTCGACTTGTTTGTGGTTTTCGTACCGGATTGGCCAGAAAGATAAGGATAACGGGAAAACAAAAACGTAAGGAAAGCTAATCTTTCAAACGCGCTGGCCAGTGAACTCGCCTACCTGACCTTGTCGACTTCTGCGGTTCGGGTGCCGATGTTGTCGACTTAGGCGACATGTCGAATCGCGTGG